ATCACTGTTGGTACACTGGATAAGATTGAAGCAAGGAGGAACAAGAAGGCAGCAATCAATATCAGCCGAACAAGAGCGGAAAAAGCCAAGGCACAAGCCGAATACACAGAGGCAAACAAGCAAGTGAAGAGGAGCATCAGAACCGACAAACGTAAATATGTGGAAGATTTAGCGATGACAGCGTAAAAGGCTGCAAGAGAGGGAAAAATGAGACAACTGTATGATACAACAAAGAAACTTGCTGGAAATTACCGTAAGCCAGAAAGACCAGTGAAAAGCACGGAAGGCAAAGTAATCACCGACATTGAAGAACAACGAAACAGGTGGGTAGAACACTTCAAAGAACTCTTGAATCGACCAGCTCCACTGAACCCACCCAACATCGAAGCAGCACCCACGGACCTCCCAATCGATGTTGGCCCACCAACAATTGAAGAGATCAGCATGGCCATTAGACAAATCAAGAGCGGCAAAGCAGCGGGACCAGATAACATTCCGGCAGAGGCAAATGTAGCAGCAACTGTCAAGATACTACACATCCTCTTCAGTAAGATTTGGGACGAAGAACAAGTACCAACAGACCGGAAAAAGGACTTCTGATCAAAATACCAAAGAAAGGTGATCTTAGCAAGTGCGACAACTACAGGGGAATCACTCTCCTCCCAATACCAGGGAAAGTCTTCAACAGGGTATTGTTAAACAGGATGAAGGATTCCGTGGACGCCCAACTTCGAGATCAACAAGCTGGATTTCGTAAGGATAGATCGTGCACAGATCAAATCGCAACTCTACGTATCGTTGTGGAACAATCAATCGAATGGAATTCATCACTCTACATCAACTTCATCGACTCCGAGAAGGCATTTGATAGTGTGGACAGGACAAGACTATGGAGACTTCTTCGACACTATGGCGTGCCTGAGAAGATAGTCAATATCATACGAAATTCCTATGATGGACTAAACTGCCAAATCGTCCACGGAGGACAACTCATCGACTCGTTTCAAGTAAAGACTGGTGTTAGGCAAGGTTGCTTACTCTCACCCTTTCTCTTTCTTCTGGTGATCGACTGGATCATGAAGACGTCAACGACTGGAGGAAAGCACGGGATACAGTGGACAGGCAGGATGCAGCTGAACGATTTAGAATTCGCGGATGATCTGGCTCTTCTATCACAAACGCAACAACAAATGCAGGAGAAAACGACCAGTGCAGCAGCAGCCTCAGCAGCAGTAGGTCTCAATATAAACAAAGGGAAAAGCAAGACTCTCCGATTCAACGCAATATGCACCAATCAAATTACACTTGACAGAGAAGCTTTGGAGGATGTGGAAACCTTTACATATCTGGGCAGCATCATTGATGAACACGGTGGATCTGATGCAGATATGAAGACGCGGATCGGCAAAACAAGAGCAGCATACTTACAACTGAAAAACATCTGGAGCTCAAAACAATTGTCAACCAACACCAAGGTTAGAATTTTCAATACAAATGTCAAGACAGTTCTACTGTATGGGGCGGAGACGTGGAATACTGCGAAAGCCATTATCCAGAAGATACAAGTGTTTATTAACAGTTGTCTACGCAAGATACTTCGGATCCGATGGCCAGTCACTATCAGCAACAAGTTACTGTGGGAGACAAATCAGATTCCAGCGGAGGAAGAAATCAGGAGGAAGCGCTGGAAGCGGATAGTGCACACTTTGAGGAATTCACCCAATTGCGTCACAAGGCAAACCCTCACATGGAATCCTGAAGGTCAAAGGAGAAGAGGAAGACCAAAGAACACATTACGCCGAGAAATAGAGACAGACATGAGAAGAATGAACAAGAACTGGATAGAACTAGAAAAGGAAGCCCAGGACAGAGTCGGTTGGAGAAAGCTGGTCGGCGGCCTATGCTCCATCGGGAGTAACAGGCGAAAGTAAGTAAGTAAGTAAATCACATGCTTTAGTTTTTCAGGAACTAGTTGACGAGCTTTAGAAAATGCAGGCGGACTAGTAGTCGTGATGTGGTCTGCAATAATGCTGAGTTCACACGGTAATTTTGTTTGGGTTTGGTATATCTCCAGTTTTTTCTCTAGTATCTAATGATAGAATGGGTCGACTATGTGCATTGCGGTTACCGTTTGTTTAGCGAGTAAGTTGCTCTACGGAATGGGGTCGCCAACCCCATGACCAACCCTCCACTTTTACCCGGGCTTGGGGCCGGCAGTGACTCTAGAAGAGCTACAGACGTAGAGTTTCTAGAGTTGAAGAACATATGGAACTGAAAATGACTGTCAAGTAACTTAAAAGTGAGGATCTTCAATACGAACGTCAAGACAGTCCTAATGTATGGAGCTGAAACGGGGAGAACTACTACAACCATCGCCAAGAAGGTACAAGTATTTATAAACAGTTGTGCACGCAAAATACTCAACATTCACTGGCCGGACACTATCCGCAACAGCGTTTTATGGGAGAGTAGAAACCAGCTTGCAGCTGAAGAGGAAATTAGGAAAGGACGTTGGAAGTGGATAGGACATACATTGGGGAAATCACAAATGTGTATTACAATGCAGGCCCTAACTTGGAATCGTGAAGGGAGGAGGAAAAGCGGAAGGACGAGGATCACATTACGCCGGGAAATAGAAGCAGACATCAAAAGGACGAATGGCAACTAGAAAAGATTGCCCAGGACAGAGTTGGATGGAGAATGCTGGTGAGCGGCCCATGCTCCTCCACGAGGGGTAACAGGCGTAAGTATGTAAATATGTGCATTACGGCAACCTGGGCTAATCTGCAACCAAAAGCTAAGGTTACACAAACAGATAAATCAATATTCCCGTCTACTATCCTCCGCTTGCTCATGTTTATGAGTAGATTATGGCGTTCTAGAAGGTATATGTCAATGATTTGGACAGGAACATCTTCAACAAAAAAGGTCCAGTGATTAGGTTTGCGTAAAACCATGCTGAGATACACATATCGATTACCGTGTATGGAAATCGATTTTCCATTTACCTCCTGTGATCTGAAAACCAATTTGTGCTGTCGATCGTTAGTATTTGCAGGATGAACGCTTACTTCCAGGTCAACGTCCATGAGATAGAGGACTTTCGCTATCACGTCAGGGATGTACAACGGACGGCTTGTTCGCCGGTCACAGTCACCGTTAACGAGTGTCGGAAGAGCACTTTCCAGAAGGATCTTTCGTGTCAGGCAATTTGAAGATTATGAAACTATAGAGTTCCCTACAATTTTCAGAAGACTTGCCATATTTATTGTGGTACCAGCACCAATCACAATCATCTGACTCTCTCGGTTAAGATACAGATCTAAATCTTAATCAGCTTGTCCGAGGATTTTGAGAGCGTCTATGATTATGATGAACATTAAGATGAAGAATCAGAGTACGAAAGAAATCTATGATGTCATTTTGTGTCGTTTCAGGTTTCCTCTTGACAAAATAAACCGTGGTGTGTGTGTGGGGGTCCCTGTGATCTTTAGAATCCAGTCGGCATATGCAGCCAGTTCATCTACGGCTATATTTCGGAATGAGACAAGGACTGTATGCGCCTTCTGGAAAGCTTATATAAGAGCTGTCTAAACAGGCCCTCGTTATAGGTCCGTTGACTAATGATATTTATGTCGCTGAGCTGTGTTGTGACTCAATGTTGTGGAAAAGCTGGTCCAAAACTTATCGGTCAGTTAGGTCTCCCTGTTCAAGGACATCCTTCTTCAGTGTGTCATAAAAATCCGAAACATCACTGGTAAACATAGTAGGCGTGGCGTGCCTTCTGAAATTGTGCACGTGAATCTGTCACGCCGTTCTCGTGAAAGTCAGCTCCTTAATAGCAGAATCAGGCTTCTGTTATGCCGGGCCAGGATGGCATGAGCTGAAATGTGGGAAGCGAGAGAGGTTTAATCCCAAGTAACTTGGGTGTCTGTTCCATTATGATGAAGACATAATATACCAATGTGAGAGAAAAAGTATCCGAAAATATGAAAACGGTTTCACGACGTTAGAAAAAATAAAAATTGAGAAATGATATATAGTGTTCTGAAGTCAGAGGCTAGGAGGTTGGAAGATATACTTGATAAATTATCAATATATCGAGGAGTGACTTATCTAATCTGGCTAGTGATCGTAGGGGACGTTGAGCACGCCGTTCCGACTCGTGATCTGGTGCGGATGCATGACCGAGTGCCTTCAGCCAGGTGAGTCCATTAAAACTAATGGGATCAGCATCCAATATCGAAGACTTATAGAGCTGTTGATTTTGGGGATTTATTTACCTATACAGTCCCAACAAAGAACAGACTCACAGTTTACTGTTTGATGTACCAAACCACTACTAAAAGGGTAACAGGCATTTGGAGTCTGATAACGCTTTTGCCACGAACATATTTGTGATTAAAGTATACCGACCCAGTCAAATCAGAAGTGAGAAGTGAAAAGGTTCAAAGTTATATTTGAAAGGTTTCCGATATCTCGAGAATCGTTTGACCTAAACTGAGTAACTGTTGAAGGAGATGCGTAGCATGGCGTACCCACTCGTGATCTGATGTGGTTGCGTGACTGAGTGCCTTCAGCTGGGTGAGTCCATTAAAATCAATGTGGTCAGCATCGAATGTTGAAGACTAACAAAGCTATAAATTTTGGGAATTTAGTTACATATATGGCTTAAACACGTGACCGAAGCTCCACATACCAACGTCTTCTATAGAAAGCTGGACAAATTGAGGTCATCACTGCCAGGACCAACACAGGTAACCCAGCCTCCTGTCCTTCCCAAACTTAGACTGAAGCTGAAACATTATTGTGGACTAGGAACAAGTTCTTATAGTAATTTGAATATACTTTCCCTATTTCTGATTGCTTTATATGACCAAATTCTTTCATGAATAAATCATTAGAACAATGCTCATAGATATGGAATCTAGTTAAGCAAAACATGTTCGCTTTCGTCTACAGTTATTTGAATTGTTTGACTTAATCGCGGAAAGTGGCTCACTTGTTTTCAAGGTCACGATGCCTCACTCGACTGTTACTGATTGTGACAAATACGAAGACAGTGATTTATGTAAAGAAAAAAAGCACCTTTGGTTTGTCTAAACTTTTAAATTCCTAATAGTGTGCAGGTCTAGTCTACTCGAAGAGGTTACACACAAGGCTGCAGTGACATTGTCTCCCTCCAAAACTCTAGTTGTTTTGGGGGATGACGAGTGTGGGAAAACTACTCTAATAGCCCGACTACAGGGTACAGAAGATCCAAGAAAAGGTTTTGGACTCGAGTACACCCTTTTGGATATCAAGGATGAAGACAGAGATGGTATGGATCGGTTTGATTCGGATGTTTTTACACTACCTAGATCAAACGAAACTGAATGTGTGGATTTTGGACGGCAACACGATTCACAGCCACCTTTTAAAGTTTGCAATCAATGAAGAGTCTTTCGGAGATTGCTTCATTATGATATGTGTGAACATGATGGAACCATGGAATATTATTAGCAGCCTAAATAAGTGGGTTGGTATCTTGAGGGAACATGTTGGTAATCTCAAAGTTCCAGATGAAAAACTTCAAGAATATAAGAAAAATAGTTAGTTTTCCGTATTTGCTAAAAATAATCGTTTTCGGAAAACAGACTGACAAGCTTTTTGCCAAGTCAGCAGTTTTGTATGGTACCCCGATTATTTTGTAGTCTTCAACAATTGACACTTACCTTCGCTAGTTTCTACGATAGACATGAAGTGGACGATTAATGGGCACCCAAAATTAATTTTTTTATGTAGTCCTTAGTAAATAAAAACGCCTTAATGACTTGACAAGTTTTACGTTAAGAGCTACAAGATGTAGGGTTCGGAGGATTTCTTAGCGTAGTCAAGTGTTTTAGGTCTCTTCATTATTGGTTTGGTCAACTTATAGTTCGCAAAATGTATTTGATGATGTATTCTGTCTACTTTAAAAGTGCTACCGAAGAACATAGGTCTAGTCCATAAAGCTTTCACTTTGTTTGACAATGACAGTCGGAAAATGTTCAAATATATTCTCACGCCGCACATATTTCAGATCCTGATCGTTATAGGTTTTCGGGCGAGACTAAAGAACATGGACGACCTTTGAACGAATCTTAAATGACCTTGAGAAATATTAGCCAATCAGAAGACAGTGTAAAGTAAAAATTTATTATACAAAACCAAAGTATTAAAGTGGATACTGTTCTCTTACATGAGTTAAAAACTTATCAAGGTTGGATATAGGTTCAGAAGTTCTAAAAACATATTGCATGCGGTAAATGAATTCATTCATATGGCTCCACAGTAGTCTGCCTCTGGAGCCATGATAGGGTCTCAAAAACTCTTTCAGTCTTGACCACATGGCTTCTATGTTGTTAGTGTGCTCCCCTGTAGTAGGGTCAACGAAATGGCGCTTATGTATAAAGACTTCATGCACATATCCCAGTCTACCTAGACACCTGTATGCTCTCATCTGTATAAACAGTAGTGCCCGGCAGCACATATTGCTGTATAATCGGTATGATTGTTGGTGCCTGCCGGTTCCTGACTGTTTGAAAATGTCCTTTTTGTAATGATCTATCATATATTCCAAGGACCTGTGAGGTATATTTATGGAAGAGGTACTTACCCAATCTTCTTTAATACAACGGCCACGGTTGTATTTGCGTTTCCTCTATTTCGTCTATTTCAACAATGTTCCCCACTCCTCCATACAATTGCTGTACGCTTGTCAGTTTTGTTGCACAAATATCTCGGCGAAACTCGTACCATTGAACTGCCGAAACTTCGCTTACATTGGCAATGGTGGCAGCTAGTGTTACCGGTGCTTTTATTATCCAATTCGCAACAAGTATCATAATTTGTCTCAACCTTAATTTTGACCGAGCGAAAAAAGTCCCTGTTCGAGCTGATTTCTTCTTCCATCATGAAGAACATCGAAAGATAATATCATCACGATAGTCTGCACACCGTACAATGGTCATTCGACTACTGCAGTCACAAGTATAGGAGCTTCTTAATAATCCCTATACTTGTAGTCGCTCAATTAACACGTCTTCTCGAAAATCCACTGTAAAGCGATCGTACGTAAGCATCATGTTCCGAAATTACCGCCGTGACCTTGAAAACCCGCGAAGGCTTCTGGTTGGCTCGTCCATGTTCTTTAGTGTCGCCACATTTGAGAATTTATGGTTGTCCACCTGTGCATATTTCGTAGAAGTAATGATTTTGCTGTCGTTAAAATCTTCACTTGAACGTTGGGGGATTATGTGGCTTTCAGGAGATTTACTGATTAGTTTATTTTAAAAATAAGCGCGAAGTATGTTCTTGTACTCTTGTATGCATAAGATAATTCACTAATTTTCTATTCAGAACGTCGTTAGATACTTGAGGTCAATTGAAACCACTCAATATTCTCAGTGTGTTAACGTACCACTATCACTGCTAATTCATTTTATAGGGAGATATGAAAAGCTCGGTAAAGCAAGAACATACCATAAAAGGCAGATTACAACTCCAACCGTAGATACGCTGTGTAACTGGGAAAAAAAAATATATATATAATAGCACTTGATCTATGCGTTCATAAAACAGTACTGTTTATGTGTAGCATAATAATCAATTTGTCTTCACTTTTTTAAATAGTTGGATAACTGGCTCATTTCTAGATTCTACATAGATAAGCTTTATATCCATTCTACTCTTATTATTCACATCTTTCGTAAATATTTTCTTCAGATTTCCTTTTATTTAATAAAAGCTGGACAATTTAATTATCAACTTTATTTCTTCCTCACAGTTTTGCGCCAGTTCTGTAGTTATCTAGAACCTGATGTACTAGCGAACACTGCTCATGTTGCACCCATATGTATCAGCCCATCTGGTAATCATCAATCTAATGGACAACCTGTTTCACTGAAAAAGTTATCGGGAATACACCCTGCAACAGCTGCCCTTCTTTCAAGTACATTAAACTCACTATCTGAAACTGCGTCTCAGCCACCATCTGTTGTAAATGTTGGACAAACAAACATTTCTATGGAAACAAACACTGATGCGAATGCTCTAACCAACAATTTGGGGATTCCAATAGTTGTAGTGATGACAAAGGTGGGTAAAAAATATACTGAAGTTAACTGACTGGTAGCCATCAGCAATTATTTTGAGTTTGTCGATCTTTAATTTGTTTCTCGTAGGTTAGCTTAATTCGTGTAGTGTATGCTATCAGCAATGCATTTATTTCATATTACTCGTCTAGATCCTTTAATTTCCAAAAGATTAAATGGTCGAGTCTACTGTAATGCCATTTAAAACTTATCCGTAATTTACCTCTTCGTAAATTTCACCAATTCTTTTATTCACTTTGTATGCGAAAGCTGATTTTCCAGTTCTCTACAACAAAACCATAACTGATGTGTATTCTTATTCTGCCAGTCATTTGTGTCGCAGTTGATCTATCTATCTGTCTATCAAAAGGCTGGTATACTGTACAAAAGTTCTCGTATTATACTGCGTTGACAATCTTTGGGTGGCTGTTTGATATATTGTACTGGTAGCTGTCCACCAAGTGTATTAACCTTTTTTATTTTTTAAGGTTGATTCTATGGGGGCTCTGGAAAAAGAAAATCAGTTCACAGAAGAACACTTTGACTTCATCCAAATGCACGTTCGACGTTTCTGTTTGTCCTGTAAGTACTTTAGTTATTTATTTTTGTTGATCCTGTAAACCTAGTTAAATTGGTTCTTCTTGATTGTTCACTTTTCGTGTAGATATCTTAATGCCATTACTTATTAAACTATATTATTTTGATGACATTTGGTGATGGGATCACCAGTGTTCATTCTTTGATGGAATTTAATTGGGGGTTAACGCCAAAATACCGTCTCATGTATACACTATAATAACGTGTTGTTCTATTAACCCTTCCATTATATACTGCCGGTGTCGTTTATCGTACCGGAAAAATTCTTACTACCATCAGACCTGTTGATTTTCTCATTCTGCCGGTCTGGTAAGGTTAATTTTCATTACTCACTAGTTCATTCATGGGATTATTGTTGTCCAACTGAATTGTTTTCTACGGTAGGTGTGTGGGAACTAAGGTGTTTCTGTTATAACTTGTGCCCTGTGTTCCTTGTTAATGTATAACGTGACGATGCCGTCAATTAGAGTACAGTGATTTATCGATCTGACCAATGACGCATGAAACCCGTGCGAGCAGTCTAGAATACTTACCAGTCCTGCTTTCTGCCTAGCCCAGCAAGTTAGGTCCAGAACACCAATCTCAGCCTCTGCGGTATGAATCATTTATTTCAATCATACTGGGTTTATATGCCAACCAAACAGACCACGTCGTTCTATAAAATAGGAAACATTTGTACAAGATTTAGCTAAACGTGGCTATGAATAAGGGAGATAAATCGCATAATAATACTTCATATGTCAAAATAAAGCTCATAAGAAGAGGGACATGAATATGATTAGTTCATTTACTTAACACTTATACGATAAAAATATACTCATAGTATCGGTCCATAAATAGATTACAAAAGTTTCCACTCATTATTCTTATCGGGATATAACAATTTCCAACCAATAAACAGCATCTATAGCCTTGATGCCCGACCGTTGCTGCTACTTTAACGTGGTGGTCGGGCTTGCCTATCGTGACGCATTAATCGGACTACACTGACTGAAACATTCGTTCCTCAAGGTCTCACCATTCCAGATAGATGAGTTAAAGAACGGTAAGACTAAAAACAGCAAACGCAAGGTCCGATGGTGAAGTCGTGCTACCGACTGTACAGGGATGTGAAGACTGTGAGTTGTTTCCCTCAACTAGGATAACAACGATGCTGCCTTCCCACAAGGAGGGGTTGAGGTTAGAAAAGGTCGACCCTAAAAACTCACACCTCGTCTTATTCCACGAGTTTCCGTCTCCAGTAGTAAGGTCTCAGTAAGTACGGAGATAACACAAAAACTACTCACGAAAGTCTTGTGTGACCGACCTCAAGCAGTAATCCCTTGGATACTAAGGTCACGCTTTCAGGTAACTAAGACCAACTCTAACCCAATTTCCTTTTTAGTTACCTTCAGAAGAACCCTTCTACGGTGTGGGCAACCGGGAAGTGATAACTGCCCTCATACTTCTAATAGCACTCAAGATCACTGTATTCATAATCAATCCCTTCAATTCCTATTATTTCTCCTATCTCGACTATCAACTCTATATTTCCTCTTCAAGTGTTACCATAGTCAACGAATCTAGTACGCGAAACACTGTCCCAGGTCTACTGAAACCTCGCTCCAAACTACGCATTGGAGCCTTCAATGTACACACCCTATATCAAATCGGCCGACAGGCATCCTTGCCCAAATTCCTAGAGTCTCGTACCATTAATGTATTCTGTGTCTCCGAAACACACATACAGGATCTTAGTGTGGTCATTCATTTGACCTCACCTAACCAAAACGGGGAGCCGAATAGGTACACCCTTCGTTTATCTGGCAACCCGACGACAATTTCTCGTGGACTAGAGAGTGTATGCATAGCACTAAGTATAAAGGTAGAAAAAGCACTTTTAGAATGGCTTCCTGTGTACAGTCGCTTATGTAATTTTCAGCTAAACGGCCCCGTAAGAACTCGGAAAGATAGGAACACACGTTGTTGCCTTTTGGTCATTTCTGCCTACGCTCTCGCTAACTGCAGCTCGGATGAGGTAAAACTTGAATTTTACAGAAAGCTTTTTGAACTTCTTCAAAAAGTTAGACGCTCAGACATACTACTCGTAGCAGGTGACTTTAATGCTCAAGTGGGTAGCTTAAACCAAACAGAAAGACATTTAGGTAGGTATACAGGTATTTATTTATTTATTTGAACACATAAATATTGGTACAAAGGGGCACCGAATACATATGCCCCGCACAAGTGACTTGATTCTTGTGTGAGCTGTGTTACTGCCCGGGTGCCCGGACCGAAGCAGGTGGTTTTCTTAGGAGGCCACACCCGGAGCCTTTGACCTGAAGGTCTAGTCCACAAGGCAGTGGAACAACGTAAGGAGATGCAGTCACATGGTGGCCGGCGATCAACAATTGGTTCATACTCCATTTGTTTCCTTGGGATACTGGAGCGCATGTGCACTATTAGCTTGGAATCAGGGTTTTCCAACTCCCCTAGGTGGACCCTCCGTGTCCATCAACCCGGTTAAAGCGCCGGACATTTGCTCTTCATCCTCTCAATTTCGTAACACCCTCCCCGCGTAAAGTCTGTGAGTAGGACTTGGCAACGGCTGTTTACGCGTGGACATGCGAAAGCATTCCGAGGGGGAGAGCGGATTCTCCCCACACTCGGCCGTACCAAGGCATCTGGGGGTTCGGTTAACAGATAATGGTGACCTTCTGCTAAAACTGTGCCTAGGCAATCGTTTATTTCTAACGAGCACTAAATTTAAGCATAAGGAGAGACATCGCCTAACATGGCGACCCCATGCACCAAACCAACGATGGACTCAAATAGACCATATTGCCATCAGTCATCGTTGGAGAGGCTCGATATAAGACTGCCGATCCTTCTGGAATACCTGTTTAGGCTCTGATCATGCTCTAATATGAGCACGCATTTACTTGCGCCTCTCCGGACACAGAAAAAACGAAGCAATAATGATAACATACTATGTCACAGAATATGTCCAATCAATTAATATAAACATTTCTCACTTATTCCCGTTGATAGTTTACAGCAGTGATACCTAGTATGAAGACCAGATAGGTTTTATACACTAAACCGAACCTCCAGTATTACTCATCTAAGGACGTTTAGAACAGCAGAAAGAAGTAAACTGTTTGAAATGTTATTAGGACTCAAGATCTAATGGAAGATAAATAATGATTACACTTACGTCACTGCTGCCGACATTAAAATATATCATCTGAGATTTTCAATCATTGACTCCAACAAAGTATGGGTGGATAACTTGAATTTTTCAAAACACTTTGTGTTTTTTCCTTTTTAATTATGTTTCTATCCCGGAAGACAACCTCTAGATAATAAATAATATTGAGTAGACCAAGAATTTGAACAGAAGGATTTTTGTAATAATTAAACTATAAGAATGTGAATGTCGTCACTTTTTGTTTTTTTGTAGGGTTTGTATTAACCATATTATATGTCCTAACACCCCTGAATGATCAAATCATCCATTTGTTTGTACATTGCCTTGATATGAGACTTGTTTGTCATTTTAAAATATTTGGTTTTCCTGCACATATAAGTTAATATTACTTCCTAGTTAATGACTTCATAGTTTCTTTCTGTTTCTTTTTTCAAATACATAATGTCTTGTAATATTCACTGACTTTTTACCACTTGAAATGATTGTCAATTTTTATATTCATTTAGATGGAGCAGCACTGTTTTATGTGTCAGTAAAGGAGGACAAAAACTGTGATTTACTGAATCGTTATCTACAAAGTCGTATCTACGGTTTTCCATTCAGTCAAACTGCGTATGTTGTCGAAAGAGACTGTATTTTCGTGTAAGTCTTCAATTAACCTAAAGAAAATAATTAACTTATAGTCCAGCCGGATGGGATAACCCAAAGAAAATTGGAATTCTTGAGGAAAACCTTACTCAAGTTCAACCGCATAGTCTCTATTCTGATGTAGTTCCTCCACCACCGTCAAAAAAAGCTGCAGTTCGCGAACCGGAACTGTTTGCTCAAGATGACCAAGTAGGTTGTATAATATGTTCTTGATGTGGCAAGCTTAACGGAAACCAATAACTGAGATTTTACCGGGAAAATACTGCATTCTAGCAAATCATCAAAAATGTTAATATTTGTCCCTTAAAACTGTCATTAGATAGTAATGTTTATGATAAATGTAACCAGGAGTGCTAAATAGCGTTCATCTGGAGGCTATCGTCTCAAGCTCTATATTGATTATGAGTGAATAAAGCTTGTAATCAATCACGAAAATACAACTCTCAATGTTTCGAAAGTTAGACTATTCTCAAGGTGCCTGTAGAGTTTGGGTACGTGGAACTTAAGTTCGTGGTTCATAAATGTAACTGTGATTTAGGTTCCTTTAAGGGCTTTTAGGTTCCAGGAGATAGTGGCTTCGTAGGTTAATAGATTATCTGGAAATAAATCTCATATCCATTGTGGATTCGCCCTATTTAGCGTGTAATTTTAATTATCTGTTTGATTGAAAATTTTCTCAATCAGGACGGACATAATCATGAAAACAAGAGTATTTCTAATTTATGTATTTTTGGGGAACTGTTCTATGGGTGGTTTTTAATCTTCACTTTCATCATAATTTCTAAATAGTATCCATTAATATCTACTACTCAATCAAATTTCAGTCTCATAGAGATATGTTATAAAACTATGTGAAGTTTCTAACCTTTTATGACGAGTTACTACATTTAGTTTCCTAAGTAGCTATCAATTGACTGCGACATTATATCAGTCGTTTCAGCAGTCAAACCAAGTACGTAGTCAAAATATTTAGTTTTAAATGTCTTTATTCCGAATTTAGATGTATGTAATAAGACTACCGTACACTTTTCGCTTTGGGCACTGAATTTTATTAATAATATGTTTTACGTAGTGTCTATAAATTTTTAGTGTTTTTTCATATAGTCATTTCTTACTCGACTCTCGGTCAGTATGCAAAGAGATAATGCTCAGGCAAATATTTCAAATAATACAATATCTGGTAATTCGGATTCTGTCATGGATCAACTTGGAGCAGCTACTGCCTTGATGAATCCGTCTTCTAATGTTGGAAGTAGACCAGTTTCTGGATCTCCCCGTACACCTGGTTCTGCTGGTAGATCAAAGGTAATCGACCAAATATTTTTGTCACAGTATTTCATTTATTTGGTAAACAAGATCTATTATTTCAATTTTCTCAATTACTTTTAATTTCCAAAGGATTATTTTCTACATTTAATAATCTTCCTCATTTGTAAGAGCCTATTGTTTGATAACCGATTTAGAAGCTTTATGATCATAATAAATTTAGCCAGTGCATGCTACTATTAAAAATTTACGCCTGATCATCATAAGTAAAACACTTCTGTAGTCCGTTAATCAGCATTGACACCCGAAGTACGAAATTTGCTACCTCTTAGGATTATATTTGTCTGGCCCTACAAAAGTTTATGCAGCATGAAAATGGTCCACTAATCGCCATTTGAAGCATTTATTCTCGTGCGTTCAAATCTTGATGTAGGTGTAAATTTGTCCCAGTTCGTAGATAATTTTTCTTGGTTAATACATGAAAGTACAAAACCTGAATCCAAAGCTTTCCATTGATTTGGCGCTAAAGTTTTTCATTGTTCTGGCTTATTGTTCTAAAATGCATTGTGTTAGGTTTTACTTGCCCAACATTATTAATTATGTTGTGTGTATGTTGTTCGTATTCCTGACTATCTGAAATTCTAGTACACAAAGGTAATCGATTTTGTTCTATTAGTGTTACTGATATTACTTATTTCATGATAAATCCTAATTTATTTTACTTCTGAAGCTTGTTTTCATTTTCTTAATATTGTAACTGTAACAACTGTTCTTCATGGGCTGCCAATAAACAATATTTCTTTTATGTATATGAATACATAATATTATGATGAGACAGTGTACAAATTCTGTTTTTAACGAAAGTCCCTGTCTTTAAAAAAGCAAATATGATTTACTGTTATAATTGTTTTTGCTAATAAACGACCCAGCTACTCCTATTGCTCAGTATTCTTGTACAATGACACTCGACATAATCCCCAAAATCAGAACACATTGAACAAGAACGAAATTGTATTCAAAATAACAAGGGTAGGTAAACAGCAATCAATGGTCAGAAAGACATTCATATATTTATAATATATGCATAAGAAGCTTCTAGATGTTTGTCCAAGAATCTACCAGAGCTGATTGGTTTAGAGTTAACCAATCAGTGTGCGCCGTCACGGTCATGCGCATAACGTGCCTTAATCCGGTTTATTTCCCGCTAACATCTACATAAAAGTATCACCTGTATATTTTTATCGAAATGGTTGAAACTGATGTTCTCTGTTAACAAGTGTCAAAGGTTCCAAACTTCGGGAAGTTTATAGTGTATTAGATATCGTTGTAAAAGTAAATATTTCAATGCGTTATATATTTCGATCTTATCTTTAGGAATATCCTAAATATCCCATGTACTTTTCTGTCTGATCCATCAATGTAGCATACTGCATAGGCCATTATAAAGAATAAGGATAGATTCCAGTAAATTAAGATAACCGACCACCACCGCATTGGTCGAATGGCGTAACACAGTTCCACTTGAAGGAGTTTGGTCGAATAAATAGAATCATTAGCTTTAATACAACATATATATCTCATAGTACACAGTCATCTGAATGGCTTTTGAATTAAATCACTCTTATTATCCATTGATTTTGTTCTCGAATCTTATGATAAATACCATGTCTGCTAAAGATTAATGTCACATCACACTACTAAATAATAAAATTGTCATTCAGTATCGCGGTGTCTTTTTTGCTGTCGTTCAAATCCTCATATTATTTTACAAAACCTCAATCAAACACTGCTAGCTTTTATTTGATGTCGATTTGCTAGTTAGTATTTCTCTCAAATTTCCTTTAAGTATGTCTAAAGTATCTCGAGACTTGATTGTCATTAATTACACCACCATTTAAATACGTTACCTTAAAAGGTCTAAAATAATTCATCTTAAACTAAATTAAGGGATTTTTTTAATCTAGTAACATTATATTCCTGTCTAATTTACCTTAATTTTTATGTTGACAATTTCAAGCAGTATGTAATTTAGATCAACTATTATTTCAAAATCTTTTTGTTCGTATACAGGTCCATATCATTATCATATTACCTTTGTATCATTTAATTCACTGGAGTTGTTTTGTTTGAAGTCATTGGACTGCCATATATGTGTACAAATCGATCAGATAATAATAATAATAATAATAATAATAATAATAATAATAATAATCTACATCATGATTAGCCATGTTTTAACAATCGATAAGAAAAGAAATAGAAAATTTGGTATAACTATAATCGATAGAAATACATTTAAATAATTCTGTTTATCAACCTAATAGTATAATTGATGGCAGAGAAAAGTCAGTAGATAGACTATGTGAACCAATGAAAATAAGTGATCCCGGTTTATAAGAAATAAAGATTTTTAGTATTTCACTTTGTTTAATCTCATATAAACTCAGACTATGTCAATATGTTTTACAATATATTGCAATAATTGCAACACAACAGTACGTAAACTGAATTATACATGAGTTACCGATTAAAGAATTAATGCACTAGTAATTTCTTGTTAAGAATGGTTTCGCAATATGATATAGTGTTACAAAATTTGTGACAATCCCCAATTGTTCAGTGACGAAATTTCCAAGTTTCAGGTTATTTTAACTTAGCAAAACATGTGATTTTGCTTATTGTATTTGGTATAACGGATTGTTTAAAATATTTTTATCACACAGGTATACTACGATAATGAAACTAATCGTGTTATATCAGATCCAGGATTCGTGACCCAGAATAGAGAACCAGAGTATAAACTAGATAATAAATTACTCAACACAATTACAAGCGGTCACTCTTAGTGGGTCTGGAGTAGAAATCAATGAGGTGAAAGGAAGCCACATATTTAATAGTCCGTAGTTTGTGCTTGTTTGTTCACGCTTAACGACCAATCATATTTTACTTTCACTACCACATTTCATTATTATAGGCTGATCATTGTTTATAAATGAAAAAATGTAATTTATTGAGTGTTCCACTCCACTTTCTTGTACAACCCTAAATAGCAATATTTGCCTTTATGTTTTAATTTGACTGGGTTACTCTCGATCTCACACTACAGCTAGCTTAATATTTGGCTCGTGCAACGCATGGTTTAACTGCTATATATGATAATTAAAATAACTCATGTCGCCGAATAAAAATAAAAGGAATTCGGCGATGAAGATTTCCTTTTTAGCGAAATCATTTACCTAAGCTGTACATTCGTATTTATAGTTGTATGGTAAATATCTATAGAAAGATAGGAAAGATTGCATCATAAAGTGATTTAAGATTCCAAATACCACATGAGGTTGCGTAATAATCAGAGGGTTAAGGAAGAATAGAAGGATGAAAATAATTTACGGATGCGAATTATGACTCAGCTAATATATTCACTTAAAGTATATGGTTTTTTTTATCTTCACTAATATCTACAGTTTCTAGCTAATGTATTCCGGATAAAATGTTTATTTCTAGTCTCTTAACAGTAAACCAAACACCATAGGTACCAATAATAAAGTTTGAGTCAGCTATTGAACTTTGAGTAAAATGTTAATAACAGAGTAACGCCATATCTGTGGAATCTCGATAAGTAGCAACACTTTATATCAGCTTTTACATCATCGTTTGTACCCTACTTTTGTTCACCACTCAATTCTGTTGTTTATTTCTTAGCCTCCTTCAGCTGTTGGTGGAGCTGCTGGGACAACAGGGGGACCTGGATCAGGGGCTTCTGAAGGTGTATTAGCCAATTTTTTCAATAGTCTGCTTAGCAAACGCACACCTGTTGTTGGTGGAGTTGGCGGTATTGGAACATCTGCATCACTTAGTACACAAGGTTCTTTAGGTAATCAGACAAGTTTTGTTGAAATATGTTTGTTAGTCTTCATCGTATTATAGAAACATTGCTTTTTGTTCTTGCTTTTATCACTTAAGGACTGTTATTTGACCGTATTGAAATTCTTATAAAATAGTTTATTGTGGATGCTATATATTTATATTTTTACTTCTTAAGTGTATATTTTTTGAATAACTTAATTCATAATGTATAATCTATACAAAACTTTGGCATAAGTAGATTTATCGTAATGGCTTTTTTGAACTTGATATTTGACATAATGTCGTATAACTTGTAACTCAGTTACCTCTACAGCAACCTGCATGTCGGTTTTACTTTAATTAAAACATTTGTATTTGACATGGAGAGGTAATCAGAAGTAGCCTAATGGAAGTGTTAATCGATCCCAATCAGAAGTGACCTAAAGTTCAAGTGCATTTCGTTGGGTCAATTTTTTAAGGATATAGTGGTATATGCATATAAATGAGTATTTGTGCATTTCATCCAGTACACTTTATCGCTCACTCTTATGTTCTCGCTCAAATAGTCAGTTGGGGGGATAGGCGCATACTATACTGTGTATCCAGTGTCAGATTTCGGACACCGCACGCCATAAACGTATTCCTCAATTTCAATAAATATATTTAAATCCTACCTAAATATGTATTCAGTTTCTTGCTTTTGTATGCACCCTTTATGGTGGATCGCTACCTCTAAGTCTTCAAGGAACTGTCTAGATGATTAAAGAAGTTATCATGTGAATTAACTCCGAAGTAGATGAGCTACGTCTCAGACTTGAATTCTTCGAGGACCATATATGATATAGATCTCAAATTCACAGTGTATACGAAGCGAGAGTAGGTGAAAGTGGTCTGAAAAATAATCGAAATTATTTGTGAACTTACGTTTAGAGACTTTAAGGAACTTGTGTACGAACAGTCTGAAATAGCCAATATTAGGTATGGGTTACTCGTTAGTAGAAGTTCAACCGACCGTGGTTAATATGAATTCTTGTTTCATGAACAAGAAATATAGTGTTCTAGAACATTATTTACAAGTGCATTTGAAGATGAAGCCACTCCACATAGCAGACTCAGTCCCCTCAGACTATTATGTTTAATGTGTTTACAAGCCTGTTTCCTAGATCAGAGTTTAAAGTTTAAGACCCTAATAAGCAAGTAGAATTTGCCTTTAAAATAAGTTGTGTAAAGTTTGTTTGAAAGTCAGCTACCTAACCGGAAACTGTTGGTCTCCAATGATAGCTCGATCGAAAGATGCGGTTGAAGGCAACACACTAAAGTCCACACAAAGTAGCGAGAACGGGTGGATACCATTGATGTTAGCCATGCCGAAACTCTGTGTGCGACAGTGTAGGGACTTATCTAGTAAATTGTTCTATAGTAAAATCAAGTTCTACAAAGTTTTGAGTAGTAAGTAGGAAACAAAACATGTGAGTCATTAAAATTTAGTATCGTTCCGAAAAAAAACCACATTTAGAGCAAACCAATTTGTTAACTAATTGTGGATTTGGAGGCTTTTCATTTCAGAATATTTGGCTTAACGTTACGAGTTTTTCTTGCATTCATCAGTTCACTTTTTTAGTAGCTGGTCACAACATTATTCTATCCTTTAATTTTTCTATCAGCTTCGTGATTGTTTTTGTTAACGTCATTGTTTCTGCTGTTACCACTATCTTATTATCGGTTTCTTCTTTCTTTTATATTGAAAGAATTTATAGAAGTGTATGCATAAATTTAACAAGACAGGGTTTTTTTGTCTGGGCAGACTTCATTCTGATTCTTTGGTTTCTTGTAAATGTCTTCCGTAAAAGTAGGATCTCTATTTGTATGCAAATAGTAAATCTTTATTCTTGTTTATCGTTTAAAAGCTTGGTGACCTAAAGAAATTTCTTAGCGAAACAGTAAGTTGTTTATTTTATTGGTAGATTTGGGTTTTTTGTTTGTTTGCTATTAAACACCAGATATTTAGAAAATCATTGGTTCTTCTTATCTTTTTGGACAAAGTAATTTGTATAAATTCATGAAATTCGTTTTTCACGTTAGACTAAGTGATTTCTTTGCTTTTTATAAATTAAATTCCTGCAGATAGGACGTCGATCTCACAAAAAGATATTCAATCTGAACTGAAAAGGCTGGCTCAAAGTTCTCGTGAAGCACTGGATGTTGGAGATAATGGTCCTGAACAGTTATTGGGTGATGTTCGACAACAGAAACTGGACGAAGTGAAATCAGTTGACTCCGGATCACCTAAATTGACCAAGACATCTAGCGAGCAACCAAGTCAAGTTTAGTTATGCATTAATTCTTATTATTTTCAATATTTCTCATCTACGAATTCAGTTAACAATTCAGATTATCTTCGTTACAACGAACTGTATGCTTTAATATGACATTTTAATTCTTTTTCTTATTCTGATGTTTGGACTTAACGTTCGAGTTCCTTTTTGGGTTTAATGATTATATAAACCAAGTTTCTCCAACATGTGACTCATAACTTAGAAGCCAGTCAACATTTTTCTAGAGCAGTATTCCCAGAATCGAAATTTGTGCAGAATGACCTTAGTGAAGCAGTTCTGTAGAAGGGACATTTACTTAAGTTGTGTGTGTCGTAAATTGACCACCCTGTCCACACCTATTCGACATGTAAAAATGGCACGACTTGTGATTAAGTGCATGTCTTATGTAAGGATGTCATTTTTATGATTAACTTGGGATCAAGTAACGTACGCGATAAACTAGTCAGTGATTTGAACTGCAGTCATTCTGTAACATCAAGTAACAAGAAAATGTCAACTGGGTTAGGCTGGCTCGGCTCAATTTTTGGATACTACGAGTATTGGTATGTGCTTGTATTGTAGTGAACAGAACACTAGTTGGGGACAATCGAATGTATTTAAGCAAACATTACAGACTATCTCAATAAATTCTGATAACCAAACAATGAACAGTCAATTTGCAAATTAACAACCAATTGTTTCAATCTGCACTGTTTCTTCTCTTATTCCATTGCTCATGCATTTTCCAGACGTTTGCGTTTCATTTCAGTTCTTTCCTCATCGGTCTTCTGCGAAAATACATTCTATGTCTGACCCACACCATATACTACTTATATAGATATAAGTAGACCACACCACACTCGTCCCCCCTTCAAAGCATTCGACCATGCGGTGATTCTGATCACAACGCCACTATCTTCTTTCACTGCAGTCTGTGCCAAACACTCCGTCAGAATGTCGAGTCTGCGGCGCGCTGACCTCCATAGCTCCAACGACCAGCCGGGGCACCAACATCCGCATCCACCCGGCACCTGGGACGTTCAACACCCGTACTCCACCGGCCTGCTGAGCCATCTACATCCGATGTCCGCCCAGCAGCCGCACGTCCCGCTGCTCCTCTCCGTCGGCAGCACCCGCTACAGCCAACGCCGCCTCGCCAGAACACTCCACTCGACGCCACCTCTCCGCACCAGACTGCCCCAACTAGCACCTCAACTCCAGACCCGCATCGGCGTCCTCAGAACAGCACCCTTCCTCCTCCCGGTTGGCAGCGACACCAAATGTAGTGAACACAACACTAGTTGGGGACAATCGAATGTATTTAAGCAAACATTACAGACTATCTCAATAAATTCTGATAACCAAACAATGAACAGTCAATTTGCAAATTAACAACCAATTGTTTCAATCTGCACTGTTTCTTCTCTTATTCCATTGCTCATGCATTTTCCAGACGTTTGCGTTTCATTTCAGTTCTTTCCTCATCGGTCTTCTGCGAAAATACATTCTATGTCTGACCCACACCATATACTACTTATATAGATATAAGTAGACCACACCACACTCGTCCCCCCTTCAAAGCATTCGACCATGCGGTGATTCTGATCACAACGCCACTATCTTCTTTCACTGCAGTCTGTGCCAAACACTCCGTCAGAATGTCGAGTCTGCGGCGCGCTGACCTCCATAGCTCCAACGACCAGCCGGGGCACCAACATCCGCATCCACCCGGCACCTGGGACGTTCAACACCCGTACTCCACCGGCCTGCTGAGCCATCTACATCCGATGTCCGCCCAGCAGCCGCACGTCCCGCTGCTCCTCTCCGTCGGCAGCACCCGCTACAGCCAACGCCGCCTCGCCAGAACACTCCACTCGACGCCACCTCTCCGCACCAGACTGCCCCAACTAGCACCTCAACTCCAGACCCGCATCGGCGTCCTCAGAACAGCACCCTTCCTCCTCCCGGTTGGCAGCGACACCAAATGTAGTGAACACAACACTAGTTGGGGACAATCGAATGTATTTAAGCAAACATTACAGACTATCTCAATAAATTCTGATAACCAAACAATGAACAGTCAATTTGCAAATTAACAACCAATTGTTTCAATCTGCACTGTTTCTTCTCTTATTCCATTGCTCATGCATTTTCCAGACGTTTGCGTTTCATTTCAGTTCTTTCCTCATCGGTCTTCTGCGAAAATACATTCTATGTCTGACCCACACCATATACTACTTATATAGATATAAGTAGACCACACCACAGTATCAATGTTTTGGCTGTTACTTTTCGTTTTTTCGAAGATATTAGTAGACTGGGAATACTATACTTTTTATACCCAACGAGTTATTACAGGAAAACCAATGCATTTATCCAATAACACGACCCGGATGAGCGGGTGCTTCATAAAAGCTAACTGTCAATTATTTGAGGTCTATAAAGTATAACATAGGTAAAAAGTCGAGACATCCTTAAGCTTAATGACTTCACTGTGCTCGGTAGTCGGCACCAATCGTCCCAACTAATCTTTCCCACGCGAACAAAAAGTGTGATATTTTCCTCAACAAATGTTCGTCCGGTAGCGATGGTTTGGCTGTCTATTACAAAACTCACAATACAACCAGTGCGCAAACTTATTTTGGCGAGTTCTGTTAATGATTGGTGCTTCTGACGTCACTGGAGTCAGCTTCAATGGCCAGTCAGAGTTGCCGTAATAAAGCTATATTAACCTAAGCACTCGACACCCGTTCAATGCCATCGGCCCCCATAAGTGTAGAGAAATATCGACCAGTGGCCCAGGATTTTCCAAAAAGTACCCACTATATCTGCTCAAGTATTTCGAAAATGCTTTCACTTTGCAAAAGAGGTTCAGGAGATATCGAACATCTCTGGAATTTGATCTACAATTTCTAAGGGGTGTCTGAGGTATAAACGTGATTGATCATCTAAACAGAAATCATGACATGTAGAATCTCGTTATTAAGAAGGTGTAATTGTTTACTCGTAACTTTCGTCAAACCCCAGCTTCCGAATACAACTCACGGTTTGTTTCTATCTTTTCAGCTAGACTCCAAACTAACTTAAGTCTCATAGTTTATAAAACTGATTTGTACGCGCTATTTAAAAAGGACAGTAGCATTTTTCCTCGTTGAGTAAATTCTATTGTTTTGATCGTTATTAACGTATCAAGACTACTGTTTTTATACTTTGATTGAATTTCTTTTAGTTAAAGTATTCTATTAGAGTATCATCTTTGGTATCCTAAATAGTTTTATCGTCGGTACTCCAGAGTACCTTTTTTTTCCATTGTGTCTGTTAGTACTTTGGTCCTAACTGCTTATAGTTTTTTTTTCTACTTGTAGTCAACACTCACTTTCGCATCCTAAAATGACTGGAAGATGCAACAAAAGCATTTGCCACCGCCCAGGATGTCGATATCCTTTTGATAGCGGCATGCAGTTCGATGAGTGCAAAGGTTGGTACCACGATGTTTGCACGAATCTAACACCTGCAGCTTTCAAGCGGTTCAGTAAAAATGGGTGCGTATGGCTATGTCAACAGTGCTGTTTGGATGCAAATAGCCTGTTACATGAGACCATCTCAATAGTAAATGCTACAAAAAAGTGTCTCGGCAAGCGCGGTCGGGATACGTCAGTCAGAACTCAATCTGTCGACACGCAGATTGACACAAGGCAGGCCCAAGTGAGTCCAAAAACTGCCGACCCACCCTCCACTAACGAGGAAGAACATCCTCCAAAGAGGACTGTTACAACCAGAAACTCGCGCAAAAAAGTCTCTTCTGTCCCTCGTATCAAAAATGGTACCCAGAAGGGAAGCCGAAACCGCAAGGCTCGATCGGTTTCCAGCGCGAAAGATGACCCAATCTCCCAAGTCGTTCTGAATCTTCCGGAATCCCACAGTACGCCTGATGCGACTGTGGTCACCATTCCAAAGAACGTTGGCGATTGGGTACGTGTCGTGAGAAAAAAACGCCAAGATGACGTAAAAGGAAATCATACCCCCACCATAAGGATCGACAAGCCGAGGTTTGATCACAGCGACAGATCAGTCATTCTCCATTGAGTCAAGGAGGGTGACAACTTAGAACCGAAAGCTCGTTTTGAGCATGACATCGTGTTGATAAAACAACTACTCAACCAAGTTATGTTCAAAAACATCTTCGGAGTCACCTTGCTAAAGGTGTATAGACTAGGAAATCTAGCGCATCTGAAACCAAATCAGTCTAGACTACTCAAAGTCGTTTTCAAATCCCCAAACGAACGCGACTTAATCTTAGAAAATGGACACAAATTAAAGGGTTCAGGAGTTTTTCTCCGTAAGGACTTACCGTTGGTGGACCGTGTTAAAAGACGGGAAGCCGAAAGGGAACTACAGCTCAGATTAGACGCTGGCGAAAAAGACCTGAAAATTGTAAATTTTCGGGTTGTGAGGCTTCGACAGAGGATGATGCCGAAGCCACTCTGGGTGAAGCACGAGGCCACCTAAATAGGCTTCGGATCTGTTATACCAACGCCCGGAGCTTACTAAATAAGCTACCGGAACTAGGTATACAGATTGACTCAACTAGGCCAGACATAATCGCAGTCACAGAAACATGGCTGTTGCCGGCTATAGATAGTACGGAACTTGATTTCGAGGGTTTTACATTGGTAAGGGCCGATAGAATACAAACGCGTAAAGGAGGGGGAGTAGCTCCATTCATTAGGAATGCTATTCCATTCACCACTGTCGACAGTGTATCCCATGAGAGTGGGACCTATGAATTAGTTTGCTGCCGCCTGAAATGCAGGAGACAAGAGTTGCTACTAAGTTTGATCTATCGCAGTCCAAGCTGTGAAGCAAACGAGGTCCTGCTAAGCAGTCTCAACACTTTATCACGAAGTGATCGATGTCTAATCCTAGGGGACTTTAATGCACCCATGGTGGACTGGGGAAATCTGCGGACTGAATCGTCAGCAAACTCCTTCGAACAGGAACTAGTTGATGCGGTAATCACATGTGCCCTAGTGCAACACGTGAAGGAAGCAACTAGGTACGACCCGGGTTCTGCATCATCCTTACTAGATCTTATATTGACTCATTATGATGATGATGTCGCAAACCTGGATTACATGCCACCCCTAGGCAAACGTGATCATGCAGTTTTAAGCTTTGACTTCCATATAACTGTCGATCACGAGTACGCTTCAGCTCAATCCAGACCTAACGTCTGGAAAGCAAACATAGCAGACATCATGAAATCAGCATCATTAGTAGATTGGAAATTAGACCCAGAGTCATCAATCGAAACGGCTTGGGACGTATTCCGAAATTTATACTTAAAAGTTACCACCCCCCACATCCCTTGGACTACACCTAAGAGACCGAGAAACTCCCCACCGTGGTTCAGTAGGGAGGTTCGCATCTTTCTCTGTAAAAGAAGGAAAATGTGGGACAGATTTAGGTTACTGGGGACTGACGAGGCAAAATCTCAGTATCAAAAGGCTCGAAATACCTGTGCCTCAACCCTCCGTAAGGCCAGAAAGCTGTACGAAGAGAAAATCGTTAGGGAATCCATAGAATGCCCTAAACGCTTGTATTTGTATATAAACCAAAGGACAAAAAGAAGAAGAAATGTTCCTTCACTATGGGGAGACAGTACTGCCACATCACTAGTGGAGAATGACTTTGGCAAAGCTCAAGTATTCTCTAAATACTTTAGCGGTGTATACACCATAGAAACACCCTTCTTACCAGTCCATGAAAATCCCTCCACACAAGCACTGGACAGCGTAACCATTAAAGAACTCGATGTCTTTGGTCTGCTAGTTAAGCTTGACATAGGTAAATCCACTGGACCCGATGAACTGCATCCTAGGTTATTAAAGGAATTAGCTAACTTTGTTGTCATCAAGCCTCCTGTCCTTTCCAAACTGAAACTGTATATACGTTCCATTGTAAACGTCGCAAATTATGCACCCTACCTATGTACGAAATATGGCGTACTGTAAATTGCAGTGTTTATTGTGACAGGAAAAGTCGGATGGTGCTAAAGTCATCCTGCATATTTACCTAGACACTGGTTATTAAAGGACGACGAAGCTTGTGTTTAAATAATCGTATAAACCAGCCATGGGAAAGAACCAGTATAGGAAATACGATGCTTGAATGCTTCACAACAATCTAAAAAGTGACTCGTCATAACATGGATTTTGATTTTCAGTGCCTCGAGAAAGTAACATTGAAAACACGCAGCGAATAGTAGGATTAGTAAAAATCATGTACCAATATTGCATAAGTAAGGAAAAATCCGCTCGCAAGGAGACCAAATGCCTTATTAGTACCAGGGAATGGATGAGACAACTGAAAATAGGCAGCATTTGCCTTGACGAATGCCGATACCACAAATATAGCTGTATTCCTTTGAAGTGTCGTAAGCATTGTACGGACTGGACGTAACTTGATTTAACCAAAAAGAATTGGATGGACACGACCGAACTTATTGTATTTGGAATTCCAAATGAAGTTTGAAGAAATCATTAGTTCATACAAACAAAATATCCGCCACAGCTTAAATTGGAATCTGTTGCCGAATTTGTGTCTTCTCCTTAGATTCATTGTCCATCAATTAAACTGCGCATTGGATATACACTCTGCATGGTGTAGAATATACTGATTAGTATTAGAACTAACAACCGAAGTTAGAATAAACTCACCTGGGTCCAAAAATTGTATATGATTAACATGTCGTTTCAGTACTGAAAACAGTGATGTCTAATATTTGAGCAATAACCTTTCCAACACTATCCTCCACATGAAAATATGTTCGATCTTTATATCACAAAGTTATAGACGATCTGGCTTCATTTAAAACATATTTCTCACGTTCATTAGGGGATTCAGTAGAAGTGACTTCATGATAACGATTAACAACATTTGATATGAAATCATCTGTGTCTTACATATGTAGGCAATCTTCACGTTTTCAGACATTTTTTATGGCACACACATTGGTGAAGTAGTTTGAGAATACTTGAGATTTACCAAAGCCATCCTCCACTAATGATGAAGCATTGCTATCTACCCATTCTGCTGGACTATTTCTTCTTCATTTTGTCCTTTGATTTATAAACGAATGCAGTAGTTTGGAACAGTCTATAGATTTCGTACCAATTTTTCTTCATACAACCTTCTAGACTTGCGGAGGGTCAAGTCACAGGTATTCCGGTCTTCTCGATATTGAGATTTTATCGCATCAGACCCCAGTAACCTAAATCTATCTCACATTTTTTCTTTTACGGAGAAGGATGCGAACTTCCCTACTGAAACATGATGGATAGTTTTGCGAAGCCCTTGGTCTAGTCAAAGGGAATTAGGGTGCAGTAACATCTAAATATAAAATTCGAAATGCATACCAAGCTGTTTCAGTTGGGGATTAGGTCTGTTATCCGAACTACTGATGATGCTGCGTGTATAATATATTGTATATTAATTTTTAAGACGTAAGGTCTGGGTTAAGCTGATGCGTGCTCTTTTTTTCGGCTGTTCTATGGAATTCAAAGTTTAGAACTGCGTGATCACTTTTGCCAACAGGTAGTATCTAACCAAGGTTCATGACGTCGTCCACATAATGGGTATATATGAAATCTAATAAGAATGATTCAGAGTCTGCGTCGTACCTATTGCCTCCTTTCACATGTTTTACCTGGGCACATGTGATAACCGTATCAACTAATCCTGCTCGAAATAACTTTTTGACTCTTCAGTTCTCAGATTTTTACAGACTACCTTAGGGGAAATAAAGTCTCCTATAATTATACGTGGACCACTTCGTGACAAAGTACTGAGACTGTTTAGCAAGACTTCATTTATCTGAAATCTTGGATTGCGGTAGACCAAACCAACCAGCAGCCCTTGTTGGTCGTATTTCAAGCGGCAGCTAACTAATTCGCACGTCTTACTCTCATGGGATGTCGACAAAGGCTTAGGGATAGTATTCCTAGTGAAAAGATCTATTGCCTGCCCTCTAAGATTCTGGATTCTGTCGGCTCTTACCAACGTGAAACCTCAAAATCAAGTTCCATACTATCTATATGCTGAGTCATCTAAGTTTCTGTGACTGCGATTATATCTGACTTGGTTGAGTCAATCTGTACACCTAATTGCCACTGCTTATTGAGTAAGCTTCGAGCATTAGTGCGACAGAGCCGGAGCTTATTTAATCAGCATTGTTCAAACTTTTGTGAAAAAGTAGATCATATGAGTTGTTTGGCTTTTCCGTTGAAGGTCGAATTATCTAGGTCACTAGCTGAAACCATATAAATGTATACTAATTTATCGTGTTGCTACTTGGTCGACAACACTAGATATGTATGAAACAATTTTTAATGAGGAAGCAGAAACGAAAAAATGTCTTTGGTCAGTTAACATACATAAATAATTCAAACTGTTATAGGTCCAGCCTCCTAGATGAAGTGACAAATAAAGCTAAAATTGGTCTATCGGACTCCAAAAATCTTGTTGTATTTGGTGATGATTTGAGCGGAAAATCAACCTTGATTTGTCGGCTTCAAGGCAATGAAGATAAAGAGGAGGGATTCGGCTTGGAATATGATATAATCGAGGTGAAAGATGAAGTAAAAGATGGTAGTTATGCAAATAATATAATGATACTTAAATCAGTTTCTGCAAACCTTAGCGTCTTCATTATCGATGGAAACCCTATTCAAAGCCATTTGCTGAAATTTGTGGTAACTGAGGATTCGTTCAACGACCAAATGGCTCTTATGGTCGTCAGCATAAATGAACCTTGGAAAATAATTGAATCTTTGGAAAAATGGGCAGAAATACTTAATAAACACATAAACAAACTAAAACTATCAAAAGAAATGATAACAGCCTGCAAATCAAGGAGTAAGTTATACTTAATTATTTGATTGGTCAGTACGGTTTCGGATTTTTTCAGATTCGTATTTGTGTATTGAATGTAGATGCTCTATGTCCTGTGTCAGTTCTTTTATCGTAAGCTTTTGAGGACGTCCATCTCTTTCTTGAATGAGTAGTTTGCGAGGCAGACACTGCTTCTTAGGGTTACGGATCCTAAGAATTCATGACTCGGTGTAAAAACCTGTACGCCATTGGTATTTTGTTGGTTCATGACTTTTTCACCTTCCTGGTATGTCCTCTGAGTTGTCCTGATCTGATAGAAAGAAAAAGAGAGGATGTATCAGGTCAAAATTCATCTCTCAGTATCCTATACATCAAAATCAGATCATCTTCTAATCTGCGGTGGGACAGAGTATAGCGGTCCACCAACCCGGTTAAAGCGCCGGACATTCGCTTTTCACCCTCTCAATTTCGTAAACAACACCCCGCCACAAAAAGGCAGTGAGTAGGACTTCCCTGGCAGAGGCTATATACGCGTGTTTATGTGAGAACATTTCGAGAGGGAGAGTGGACTCTCCTCACTCTCGGCCGTATCAGGGCATTTGGGGGGGGGCAATCGCTTGCGACCGCCGGGAGTGGTCTGTTCTTTGGCACAATATCAAATGCCTTGCTGAAGTCTTAATGGATAACGTCCATCGATTTCGTATTATTTGTAGCCTCCTTCTATTACTTTCTCGCTGTAAGAATGCTTTTTGTGAAAGATAATCTTTTCCCGAAACTATTTTGTTCGCTGTTTAATAATGATTTAGTTTTAATGAATGTCGTTGTGACCTTTTTGACCATTACTTCCAGTTTTATAACTGCAACATTGGTGAGGATGACAGGTCTGTAGTTTGATGAAGGTTTTCTTGATTCTGTTTTATATTTCGTAGTGACAATTGCACCCTACCGGTCCGTAAGTAACTCATCTTGGTCAAGTGGCATATTGAATGTAGTAGTCCATGGGGCGGAAATATATTGTGCGACTTGCCTCAATATTTTAAGGTGTGTTTCATCTAGTCTTGTTGGTTTATTCGTGTCTAAAGCATTAATAACCTTTAGTATGTCGTCTAGATTAACGTTTATAGTAAGCAGCCGATTTTGTGACTTTGTATTTTGGTCTGGTTCGTCGCCTGGAAGAGACTCCTGAGTGAAAACTGTCCCGAAATAGTTTGCCATGACCACTGCATTGCTCTGATCTTTACTTTTTATTTGAAGTCTACCCCCTTCGTAATTAGGCTGTAAATCCAGTGATGGGTTCTTGTTCTGTATTTTTTTGTACGAAAATAGTCTGTTCGGCTGATTGACTTCAGATTAGACCAAATTACATTCAGTTTTACTCTAAGCAGCCCGGATTATAATTATACACTTATTTTGAGGCGCAATGTGGCGTCCAATTGTATTTACAGTTTCAAAGCTGATGATGACACTCCAACATGTCGCCGTTTGTCTTAGTAAACGTCAAATATCCTGGTTTATCCAGGGATGGTCGTGATTCTTCTTCTTTGGAACTGTTCAGGTTATAAATTGTTGAGTTACTTGATTGTATGACTGCCTGAAAGAAGTCCACGCCTCTTTTACTGATACGTTTGATTCAATTTTTCAGTTTTCAGTCAAGGCTGTGGTGTCGATCCCCTTCATGTTTATCCTACATATGTTAGGTCGGGGCGAAGCAACTTCTTGACAATCTATACCAGCCACGAACTTTGATAAGATGACCTCGTAATCACTTCTCCCTATAAATAGAAGAAATATTATTTGACTGACATAACCGTGTGTGATGATTAGGTCCAAAAGAGACGAGGAGTTATGCAGGTTATATCTGGTGGGATCTCCTATGTTTTGAAATAAAACCGGAGTGACTGTTACTCACTTACTTACTTACGCCTGTTACCCCGTGTGGAGGAGCATAGGCCGCTCACCAGCATTCTCCATCCAACTCTGTCCTGAGCCTTCCTTTCCAGTTCTTTCCAGTTGCTATTCAGCCTTTTCATAACGGCTTCTATTTCCCGGCGTAGTGTGTTCTTTGGCCTTCCTCTTTTCCGCTTCCCTTCCGGATTCCAAGTTAGGGATTGAGTCGTGATGCACATTGGTGATTTCCTTAATGTATGTCCGATCCACTTCCAACGTCTTTTTCTAATTTCCTCTCCAGCTGGAAGCTGGTTTGTCCTCTCCCATAAAACGCTGTTGCTGATAGTATCCGGCCAGTGGATGTTGAGTATTTTGCGTAGACAACTGTTTATAAATACTTGTACCTTCCTGATGATGGTCGTAGTAGTTCTCCACGTTTCAGTTCCATACAGTAGGACTGTCTTGACGTTCGTATTAAAGATTCTGACCTTGAAATTGGTTGAGAGTTGTTTTGAGTTCCATATGTTCTACAATTGTAGATATGCTGCCCTTGCTTTCCCAATCCTCGCCTTTACATCTGCATCCGATCCTCCTTGTTTATCAACGATGCTCCCCAGGTACTTGAATGTTTCCACCTCTTCCAGAGTTTCGCCATCAAGTGTGATTGGGTTGGTGTTCTCCGTGTTGCATTTGAGAATCTTGCTTTTTCCTTTGTGAATGTGGAGGCCTATCGATGCGGAGGCTGCTGCTACATTTGCTGTCTTCAACTGCATTTGTTCATGTGTATGAGAGAGGAGGACTAGGTCATCTGCGAAGTCCAAATCATCTAATTGATTCTAAGCTGTTCATTGTATTCCGTATTTCCCTTCATATGTCGAATTCTCCATAATCCAGCCAATCACTAGAAGGAAGAGAAATGGGGAGAGTAGACAGCCTTGTCTGACTCCGCTCCTTACTGGAAATGCATCTGTCAGCTGTCCTCCATGCACCACTTTGCACTGTAGTCAATCGTATGAGTTTTGGATAATGTTGACAATCTTTTCAGGAACTCCATAGTGTCGAAGAAGTTTCCACAATGTTCTCCTATCCACGCTGTCAAACGCCTTCTCATAGTCAATAAAGTTGACGTATAGTGATGAGTTCCACTCAACTGATTGTTCAACGATGATCCGTAGTGTCGCAATCTTGTCTGTGCACGACCTATCCTTACGGAATCCAGCCTGTTGATCCCTAAGTTCTGCGTCTACTGCGTCTTTCATCCGATTCAGCAGCACTCTGTTGAAAACTTTTCCTGGTACTGATAACAAACTGATACCCCTGTAGTTCTCACATTGGCTCAGATCTCCTTTCTTTGGTATCTTGATGAGATATCCTTCTTTCCAGTCCGTTGGCACTTGTTCCTCTTCCCAAATCTTCTTGAATAGAAGGTGAAGCATGTTTGCAGTTATTTCAATGTCTGACTTCAGTGCTTCTGCTGGTATATTGTCAGGTCCTGCAGCCTTCCCACTTTTGATTTGTTTGATGGCCATCTTGACTTCTTCGATCGTTGATGGAGTGACATCTATTGGAAGGTCAGTGTGTGCTGCTTCGATGTTCGGTGGATTTAATGGGGCTGGTCTATTCAGTAGTTCCTCGAAGTATTCTGCCCATCTTTTCCTCTGTTCTTGAATCTCAGTGATTGTCTTTCCTCCTTTGTCCTTGACGGGTCTTTCTGGTTTGCTATATCTCCCTGCCAATTTCTTCGTTGTATCATACAGTTGTTTCATATTCCCTTCTCTTGCAGCTTTTTCGACCGTCGTTGCTAGTTCTCGCATGTATTTCTGCTTGTCGGCTTTAATGCTCTTCTTCACTTCCTTGTTTGCTTCTGCGTAGTCTGCTTGTGCTTTGACTTTCTGTGCTCGTGTTCGGCTGTTGTTAATTGCTAGTTTCTTGTTCTTCCTTTCTTGAATTTTGTCCAGGGTCCCCATAGAGATCCATTCCTTGTGATGGTGCTTCTTAGGACCAAGAACCTCCTGACACGTTGAAGTTAGTGCTTCTTTTATCCCTTTCCAGTTGTCCTCCAAAGTAGTTTCTTGTTCTTTCAGTAGATCCTGTAGAGCTTGGAACCTGTTGTTGAGAGTTATCTTGAATTCATGGAGCTTGTCAGTATCTCGAAGGAAGGCTGTATTGAATCTTTGTAGTGCTGTTTGTCCAGTTGTCCAGTCTTTCTTTAGCTTCAGTCTCATCTTGGCCACAACCAGGTGGTGATCTGAAGCTATGTCAGCCCCTCTCCGGGTTCTCACATCTTCCATTGATCTTCGGAATTTTTTGTTGATACAGATGTGATCTATCTGGTTCTCTGTGGTGTGGTCTGGTGAGATCCATGTAGCTTTGTGTATGCGTTTGTGTGGGAATATTGTGCCGCATATAACCAATTTGTTAAAAGCACATAGGTTTGCAAGCCTCTCCCCATTTTCATTTGTCTCTCCTAGTCCATGTCGTCCAATTACATCTTCATATCCTGTGTTGTCCACTCCAACTTTAGCATTTAGATCTCCCATCAGGATGGTGAGGTCCTTTTGTGAGCACTTTGCTATAATTGATTGCAGCCTTTCATAGAACTGATCTTTATCATCGTCGTTGCTATCATTGGTGGGTGCACAACATTGGATAACGTTCATTGTGATCCCTTGCCTCTTTGTTCTGAATAATGCTTTGATTATCCTGGGTCCATGAGGTTCCCATCCTACAAGTGCATTTTGTGCTTCTTTGGACAGCATTAGAGCAACTCCCTGAGTGTGTGGCGCATTTTCCCCTTCGTGACCGGAGTACAGCAGCATCTCTCCTGTACCTAGCCTTTGTTGTCCAGTTTGTGTCCAATGGGTTTCGCTGATTCCGAGTACTGCCAAGTTGTATCTCCTCATTTCCATTGCTATTTGGCTGGTCTTTCCTGTTTCCCACATTGTCCGGACGTTCCATGTACCTATAAAGAGTGTTGCTCTGGTTGTTAGAAGGTGCATCGGTCTCGTGACTTCCGAAGAATTTCGGCTTTCATCATGAGACGTCATAATTATTCCTTCCACTCCCAGGGCAGAGTTTGAAAGGTTTGAATGATTTTTTCTGGTTAGCGTTTTTTTAGCGAGTTGATTTTCTACGGG